ATATATATATATAGATAAAATAAGAATTGACTTAAATCATTTTTAGCAATCTTTTCCCTCCATTATCATTAAATACACCGTATTTATAGTAATTCTTTATAGAAAAAATATCGCAACATTAGATGTTAATTCTTTATACAATTTAGTGTTTTTATATTTTAAACATACATGTTTAATGTTCTTTTAAACAAGATAAAAAACTATAAAAATATTAGTGAATATTATTTAGCTAATCAAGTATAATCGATATTAAAATGATAAACTAACAACTCATTTGTCGAACTGCCATATAAATTATCATATTATAAATAGATCCATCTTAGACTTCTATTTAAGTTCTAGCGACACCAATTCTTTCTGATTTTGGGGTTCCATTAAACAGTCAAGGTCAATCTTTTTGTATAAAAAATATAGAAATTTTAGTGAATATTATTTAACTAATCAAGTAATCGATATTAAAATGATAAACTAACAGCTCATTTGTGTGACTGCCTAAGTAAATTATCATATTATAAATAGATTCATCTTAGGATTCCGTTTAAGTTACAGGAGCACCAGGTACTTCTAATCTTAGGGTTCCATTTAAGAGTCAAGGCCAGTCTTTATGTGCGGTAGCATATTATTAAAGAAATTGGTTCTTAGCCACGACTAATTATATGTTGTTGTTTTACGTGTAAGTAATAGATAAGAGATGTGCATTGACATGTTCTTAAAATAATCGGTTTTGATCACGACCAATTATATATTGTTGTTACAAGGGTGTAAGTAATAGATAAAGAAGAGTCAAAGTTAGTCTTTACTATAAGCTGGCATGTTCTTAAATAAATCGATTGTTAGTGACGGACAATTTAGTTTGTGGGGACGACGAGTTGCTCAGTTATTAAACAAATAATGTTGTTTACAAGAATGTTTTTAATAATATATATTTTTTTTTCATGAGTAAAATTTTATTATTTGACAATTTTCCTACAAATTATCACTTTTTTATTTATTAATACATTTCAATTCCCCAAAATAAATACAGCCCGTGCATCGCATGGGTTACATACTAGTTCTCTCTTAAATGGTTAGTTTTGTTCAATTCAGATTTGGAAATTACGGCTATGTTAAAATGAATTTGAAATATAAAATTTCTTTTCGTTTTAGTTTCAACAAATAACATGTAAATTGTGTAATTAACAACTTTTTAAAGATTATGTTTTTAATATGGCAAAATTTCAAAATTGGTCCTATAACTTGGCCACTGTCCAAAAAACCACCCCGATATTGACCACTTTCAATTTAGGTCCTATAATTTGTCGATTTCATCAATTTTGGTCCTTTTTTATCTGCCCCTGGATTACAAAGTGACGTGACATGACGTGTCAGTTTTTCAATGTTACATGGCGTGATTATGATCTACGTGGCACGTCAATTTTGGTCCTATAATTTGACGATTTCATCAATTTTGGTCCTTTTTTCATGCCACGTCACTTTTTAATCCAGGGTACGGATAAAAAAGGACCAAAATTGATGAAATCGACAAATTATAGGACCTAAATTGAAAGTGATCAATATCGAGGTGGTTTTTTGGACAGTGGCCAAATTATAGGACCAATTTTGAAATTTTCCTTTTAATATCTATTCAGTCAAAAGTTTTTTTTTTAATAATAATTTTTAAATATCTATTTCGTCAGAAGCAATGTAATAATAAAAAAATCTATCCTCAAAGCAAATTTTTTATACATTTGCTCAATATCATCTCAATATTTATTTTATATACTCAAACCAATAATATCACACATTTCGTCATGATGTTTTACAGTCACTCAGACTCGACTTCGTGACCAACTCAAAAGTCCACCATCTAAGGTCCGTCAACAGCAAGAACACACACATCAATCTCTTCGCCTGCACCAACGTCCGCCTCACCCAACTCCGCATCACGGCCCCAGCCGACAGCCCCAACACCGACGGCATCCACATCGGCTCCTCCGAAGCCATCCGCATATCCGACTCCGTAATCCAAACCGGCGACGACTGCGTCTCCATGGTCTCCGGCAGTCGGGACATCGGCATCTCCCGAGTCGCCTGTGGGCCCGGTCACGGGATAAGCATCGGGAGCCTCGGCAAGGGCCACGAGAAGGAGTACGTGGTCGGGGTACGGGTCGCGAATTGCTCCTTCACAGGCACGGATAATGGGGTCCGAATCAAGACGTGGGCCCCGTCCCAGTCCAGCCTGGCGTCCAACATCACGTTCGAGGATATATTCATGAGGTACGCGCGGAACCCAATCGTCATCGACCAGCAGTATTGCCCGCATTCGAGCTGCATGGAGGTACTAGGGAATTTTTTTTTGCGGGAAAATTGCATATTAATACACCATATTTCACGCTTTTGTAATATAATCACCACTTCCTTCCTGTGTAATTTACCAATTTAATAGTTTACCATATTTCCAAATCGAATCATGATTGACGGCTCGAGTTACAGAAATTTATTTCCGTCGATGTCGTGCCGAAT